ATTTTCAAGGTCAGCCATTTCTTACTTTTTTTCAGTTGGGTCAAGTTTCTTAGCTTTCTAAATCTCTGTTTTCCAGTGAATGAAAAGAAAATAGGATTCCATTGAGTCTCCTATCTACTTACTCCAGGACTTCTGTGAGGATCAAATGAGATGAGGCATGGGAAAATGCTTGACAAACATTTGGTTGCACTGCCCCTGGCTATAAAGCAAGTCAGGTTCCTGGGCTGAAGAAACTCCAAAGAGGCTAGTCACTAGGGAGAGGAAACAGGGCATTCCTAGGTGACGTTATTACCCGGTGCCCACAGCTACAGTTTCCGGGCTGGGCTGGGCTGGACTGTGGACCGCATTTTGTGCCATGTTGTCTCAGCAGCGTCAGCTGCGATTTGGTGGGATGTCACTCCGGGGTGGTGGTGGGGCCTGTTTTCCACTTGGGGGAAGCCTAATGTTGCTTTGTGGGTGCCAGGTCTGCAATGCTGTTTCTCTGTAAATAGCCAGTGCATGTCACCGCAGCTCCTGTGTTGAGTGTCTGCCCCCTGGTGGTCAGTGTGTGTCATAGCAATTGGTCGGGTGGTCGGACACTTAGCATATTAGCCTTTTATATATATCAGATTTTTTAAAAATATATTTCCCATACCTCCTGTTTTATGTAATGAGTGCAATATCTTCTCAAATCTTCCTAAATATATTAGAGTTGAATTTTGAATTTTTTAAAAATATATTTTTATTGATTTCAGAGAGAAAGGGAGAGGGAGAGAGAGATAGAAACATCAATGATGAGAGAGAGAATCATTGATCAGCTGCCTCCTGCACGCCCCCCACTTGGGATTGAGCCTGCAACCCGGGCATGTGTCCCTAGCCAGAATCAAACCTGGGACCCTTCAGTCCTCAGGCCAGCGCTCTATCCACTGAGCCAAACTGGCTAGGGCTGGATTTTTTTTATTTACAGAAGTTATTTTCGTTGCCTCTAGAGCAGATTTTTTTTTCTTGGTTTATTTTATTCTTTTCCTTTTGTTCTGTAGTTTTTCCTTAGCTATCTAGTGATTCCTGGACAGTTCATTATTTAAGAATTAAAGCTGTCTAGGAGCTTTACACATATGGACAGGATTATTGATTAACATACTCTGTTTTTGGATGGTTGAGTAGACAGTCAGATCTTAACTGGGGTCCTATAAGTTCCAAAATTAAGAGGAGATCTATTTTGTCTGAATTTGAAGCCTCTGATCTTAAGGGGCTGGGAAAACTTCTTGACTGTATTATAGGTTGTAACTTCCATCTTTCTGTTTTTTGTGATAGTACCCTTCCATATGCAAAATGCTTTACAATATTTTCTTGAAATCTTTCATCAGTTTGTGATTCTTTTCTGTTCTCTTTCTTGTTATGAGTTTATATATTTTAAAACATTTTAATTCTTTTGATGAGGTTTCTGGGCAGACATATATATGAGAAGTAGCCTATTACCTTAATTTAGAATTCCAGATTTTTATTGTGAAAACTGAGAAGGGAAGATTGCAGTGCTTGATCAATAGAATGTCTTTTTAATGATACACCTGGGCAGGAGGGAAATTTTATTCAGGGCTGTTTTTGTTATGGTTTCCTTAATGTAAGTCAGATTGATTTTGGAGCAAGTTTTTTAATCTCCAGGCTGCTCTATTGCACAACTCTGAGGCACCATATGTTTTTGAGTCCATGCTAATAAGAACCCTCAGGATCTACACATGATACATTTATCTCAAACCTGGTGGCAATAACATTTGTCAAGATTCTTAAGGGGACTAAAACAAATCACATGTAAAACACCTAGCACAAAAATGAAAATTGATTAGTCATTTAAGTAACATAGTGCCTTCTGTTATCTAGTTGAATTTTTACTACCGTTTAAGAGTCCTTGATTCTTTAAAGTGTCTGGTTGGTATCTCTATTTCCTATTTCGTGACTTGCCTCATCTATAAAAAGGAAAAATTCTTGGTAGTCTAGGGTTATTCAAGCTTTAGGTAAAGAGAAGAGCCTTATTGAAATTAATATGCAGTAATGAACTACCTCTAAACTCAAAACTGCCAAGCGTCATTGAAGAGGAAATGTTCTATCTTTTCCTTTGAATGCTATTGAAAGTGTTTGACTTAGATTTAGAACTGCAGTGTAAATTTCTGATTGGTAGTTTTTCTTCTTTGATATTATCTTGGAATTTTTAAACTTGACATCTTTTTGCTTTGAAGTATTCAGATTGACATTTCCTCCAAGTTATATATTTACTTGAGGCCTGGCCCACGAAATTCATGCATGGGTAGGGTCTGTAAGCCTGGCCTGCGATCAGGGCTGATTTTCCCCAGCTGCCGGCAGCCAGCCCCACTGCCCAAGCCCACCGCCACCCAGTTCCCAGTTCCCAGTTCCCCATCAGGCAATCGGAGACTGCTGGCCAGGGGGAGGGACTGAGAGGTTGGCTGGCAGGGCCCTATCGGGTGATCAGGGCTTGCAGGCTGGGGGCAGCTCCTATGTTAAGCGTCTGCCCCCTGGTGGTCAGAGTGCGTCGTCATAGCTGGGTTGTTCCGCCGTCGGTCGATTTGCATATTATGCATATATATAGTTAATCATATTTAAAGTAAGAAAACACTGGTTTAATGTTTGGTTGATCTGTCAAAAAATTCTTTCCTTTTCCAGATTATCTTGGAAGGTCTAGGACTCCGAGATGTTTCCCTTGAAGGATGTCGAAATGGGTGCCTTTACCTTCTTTGCCTCTGCTCTACCACATGATGTTTGTGGAAGCAACGGGCTTCCTCTCACACCAAATTCCATCAAAATTTTAGGGCGCTTTCAAATCCTTAAGACCATCATCCATCCAAGACTGTGCCAATATGTGGATATTTCTAGGGGAAAACATGGTGAGTTGTTATTTTTTTCTCCATTCTGTGTTCTTTGCTCTGTTACCTTGGTTAGGTTATAAATATACAATGAATATATGAAAAAATCAGTACCTGTGTCCATACGTGCCTTTGCCCTTCACTCCAGCCCAAAAAACTCCTGTCAGTAAAAGCTCTAGTCATTTGAGGTTTCCTGACTACATTTGAATGATTTATGGTATATTTCTCAGATCTGAGAACCAGGATTTTTAATTTTCTCTTTCAGGGAATCCACATATCCTTAAACATATTTATTCACCTCTGTAAAAAGGAAATGAATGTTTTAATGTTAGAAACTTTATACTTTATTGGAATGTATTTTATGATTGAAAGTAGTTTGGACTCTCTTTGAATCAAAGGGAGTTGCTAAAAATTTTTTATCAGAGCTGCAGTAGCTTTTTCACATAGGATTCCATGTAGAGAACTGACATAGAAAAGTTTAATCCTATTGGTTAAAAAGTTAATGTTTTACCAAGAAGATATTTACTTTCTTTTAAATAGTATAATGGGGTTCTTCCATATCCCGTATCTTAATCCATTCAGGCTTCTGTAACAAAACACCATAAACTGAGTAGCTTATAAAGAACAAACATTTATTTAGTTCTGGAGTCTGGAAAAACCAAGATCAAGGCACCAGCAGATCCCATGTCTAGTGAGGCTCATTTCTTCACTGATAGTCATCTTGTCACTATAACATCACATGATAAGAGAGGCAAGGGAGTTCTCTCAGGCCTCTTTTACAAAAGCACTAATCCAATTCATGAAGGCTCTGCACTCATGACCTACTCACCACCCAAAGGCTCCACCCCCAAACACCATCCATTGGGGATTAGATGTCAACCTATGGTTTTTAGGGGGACACAAATGCTCAATCTATAGAACACATACGAGTAAAGATGCTTATGGTGGCAATATTTTCTTTTTAATGATTGATTTTAGAGAGGGAGAGAAGGGGAGAGATAGAGACACAGAGAGAAAGAGAAACATCAATTTATCTTTCCATTTATTTATGAATTCATTGGTTGATTCTTGTATGTGCCATGACCGGGAATTGAACCTGTAACCTGGGCTTATCAGGATAATGTTCTAACCAACTAAGTTACCCTGCCAGGGCCATCATGGAAATATTTTTATTATTTTAAAATTATTTTTGGAAGCTTAATTGCATGCTGAGGTTCCATTTTTAAAAATTGTTTTAGATGCATCTCAGTCAAATGTATTTAATTTTTCTAACAATAATTTTTAAAAGTTAATCTTATATACTTGTTGTTATTGAGCTTTTTTTCCTATAAAAATGGCATTTTCATGTGTTTTAGCTAATATTAAAGGTTCTCAATAAATGCAAACTACATTTTCTTTATTTTTTTTTTGCTGAAAAATAGGTAAAATGAGAGTTTCTAGTAGTCCAGACTATGCCTTAAAAATATTTGCTCTCAAAGTTTTATAGACTTTGAGTAGAAAATGTTTTTTCTAATAAATATAATTAATGGTTAATATTTATTGAGTGCCTATTATGAATTACACAGTATTCTAAATGTTTTACATATTTTAATTTTATACTCATTACATAACCCTGAGGTAAAATCTATTATTATTCCCATTTTACAGATTAGAATATTGAGACATAAAACAATTAAATAACTAATTAGGAACTTTTTGCATTTTTGTTGTTTAAAAAAGATAAAACTTAATGCTAAAGTTTTATTTAATAAATGGCTTTGATAACATGAATTAATGTTTAAAAATTTATAGATATCAACCTAGTTTGTTTGGCTCAGTGGTTGTTGCGTTGGCCTGTAGACTGAAGGGTCTTGGGTTCAATTCCAGTCAAGGGCACATAATTCGGTTGCAGACTCGTTCCCCAGCCCCATTTGGGGTGCATGTGGGAGGCAACCAATGGATGTGTCTCTCTCACATCAATGTTTTTCAAGTTCTGTGTCTCTCTCTCCCTTCCACTCTCTTTAAAAATCAATGGGAAAAATAGCCTTGGGTAAACAACAAAATGATAGATATCATTTGGGACTTTTTACATGATTAAAAAATTGATATTGTCAATTCCTGAATGCCTCAAATGCCCCCCTCCACCAATACACATCCAATTACAAAGTACAAATTCTAAAGAGTTTTCAGTTGTCAGGTTGGCCAAGTTCCAAAACCACTCCAGGAAAGTTTGGCAATATAGTATATACTCATTATCATCTGTAACTAGTGACCATAATTAATCTTGCTTATTTTGCATCTGCAAATTTGAAATATGCCTTTCTTCACTTGTCTTCTCAAACTTTTGCCACTTTGCTCCGTCCTTAGGACTTTTTCATTCTTGTATCCTCAAGTGCCCTTTATTCCTTTCCACTATGTCTGGAAGTTTGGAGCTTCAGTTCATGTAACTGGGGTCTTACCCTCTGTCCAGGCTTTCTTTTCTTGGGAAAATGACTCAATAGTTCTAGGTACTGGTATTTCTTAAGCTCCTTCTTTTCCTTCCTTTACCTAAATGAGCCTCTGTAAATGCTGAACCAGGAAAAATCTTATTATACTAGAGGCCTGGTGCACGAAAATTTGTGCACTGCAGGGGTGGGGGGATATGTGCAGTGTGCATAGAAATTTGTTCATAGTTTTTTTTTAAACTATAGTCCGGCCCTCCAATGGTCTAAGGGACAGTGAACTGGCCCCCTGTTTAAAAAGTTTGAGGACCCCTGCTCCACGGGGAGTGGGCCTAAGCAGCAGTCTGACCTCCCTCTGCGGGAGGCAACCGGCCGATCAGGGGAAGGCGATACCCCCATCATGCCTCTGCTGCTGCAACTGCCAGCCGCTGCGGCTGCCTGAGCCTCGGCCCAGCCCTCATTGCCTGAGCCTCGGGCCCTCACAGTGGCAGCCGCCATCCGCAGCCTGCCTGAGCCTTGGGCCAGCCCTTGCAGCAGCAGACGCCATCCGCAGCCTGCCTGAGACTTAGGCAGCCACTGCGGCTTTGTCTAGAACAGCCGTGGGCAAACTACGGCCCGCGGGCCGGATCCGGCCCGTTTGAAATGAATAAAACTAAAAAAAAAAAAGATCGTACCCTTTTATGTAATGATGTTTACTTTGAATTTATATTAGTTCACACAAACACTCCATCCATGCTTTTGTTCCAGCCCTCCGGTCCAGTTTAAGAACCCATTGTGGCCCTCAAGTCAAAAAGTTTGCCCACCCCTGGTCTAGAAGGACGTCCAGAAGACGTCCGCTCTAATTAGCATATTACCCTTTTATTAGTATAGATAATTTTTCTGGGGATCACTATTGATGACTTTGCACAGGAACCTTTTTTTTAGCTATCAATATCAGGTAGGAATGGATCCCCTTAGACAGTAATCTCTGTTAGGGCTGAAGCCAGCTCAACAATCTGGGTAGTCCCTTTAGGCCTATCCACCATCTTGCTAGTTACTCTGCTTTCCCCTGCTTGCTCTGCTCCTAGATTTCGGCAGCCCTCTCTTCTAGGGTAACATAACTCATAGATATGTATAAAATTTGTACAGTTTAAATTTGGCTGCCTAGAATGAAAATATCAGTGGTTATCAAAAGATCAAGGAATTTGATTATCTTGTTTATATTGGCAGTGCTCATTGTCTTGAAAAATTGTATGTATAAGGACTAAATAACCGAATTGAAAATGTGTTTATGTAAGGGTCTGTTTGTTCCAAAGCATCCCAGGCATTTCAGTTGCATTTAATTTGAAAAATTTGGAAGTTTCTACTCAACAGTTTTATTTTTTTGTTAATCTTCATCCAAGGATTTTTTTCCCATTGATTTTACTAAAGAGATTAGAAGGTAGGGGGAGAGAAAGAGAGAAACATAGATGTGAGAGAGATACATCTATTGGTTGCTCCCGCACGAGCCCCCACCGACCAGGGTAGGAATCGAGCCTGCAACTGAAATACATGCCCTTGACAGGAATCAAACCCAGGACAGAACCTTCAGTCCACAGGCCAACGCTCTAATCCAGGGGTGGGCAAACTTTTTGACTCGAGGGCCACAATGGGTTCTTAAACTGGACCGGAGGGCGGGAACAAAAGCATGGATGGAGTGTTTGTGTGAACTAATATAAATTCAAAGTAAACATCATTACATAAAATGGTACGGTCTTTTTTTTTGTTTAGTTTTATTCATTTCAAACGGGCCGAATCCGGCCCGTGGGCCGTAGTTTGCCCACGGCTGCTCTAATCACTTGCCAAACCATCCAGGGCTCAACAGTTTTCTTACCGAATAAATTTTTCAGTAATTTAACAACACATGATTTTGGTTTGGACTCCACTTAATTGCCTTATCAAAGAATTTAGGTTTTGGTTTCTTTTCCGCCTTTATGCCGTTCTTGCTATGCAGATATCTTACATCTTGTCATTATTATTCCCTCACTTCCCACCTTCCCCTTTGTAGTTGGAGTCACATGTGACATATGGTCTGTTTTAGTAACATTAAGTTTTCACACATTGGATTAGCTCAGAAATCAGACTTTCACTGTTTTCTATAGATCATTCAAAACAGAGTTCAAGATGATGTTAGTTTCTTGCTAACTCAGCAGGATTAAGTATTTAATCTCAAGAATAGTGGACATTTTATTAGAATTTGAGATCTTTGTTTATAAAAGTAAAGTTGAGGAAAATATCTTCCTATCTAATAAAGAGGGAATATGCTAATTGACTACCATGCCCTCAAAGATGGCAGTGCCCATGGCTAATAAGGAGGGAATATGCTAATTGACTGCCACACCCTCAAAGATGGTGGCGCCCAGTCCCCTCAGCCCTGCCGGGGCCCCTGCCTCTAGAGTCCCCCAGTCCCCTCAGCCCCCCAGCCGCACAGGGCTGGCCCGAGTCACAGACAAGCCTCAGCTGTCGGCTGCCCAGCTGCCCAGGGCCAGCCCGAGGTGCAGGCAAGCCTCGGCTGTCAGCTGCCCAGCTGGCCAGGGCCAGTCTGAGGTGCAGGCAAGCCTTGGATGGTGGCTGCCCAGCCGCCCAGGGCCACCCAAGGCTCAGGTAACCAGGGCCGGCCAAGGCTTGCACTGCCAGCAGTGGCAGCAGCAGAGGTGTGATGAGGGCATCGCCTTCCCCTGATTGCCAGGTCACCTCCCACCCCTGAGCGCTCCCGGACTGTGAGAGGGGGCAGGCCAGGCTGAGGGACTCCCCCCTTCCAGTGCATAAATTTTCATGCACCGGGCATCTAGTTAAAATATAAAAGGCAAATATAGCATGAAATACTTAAATTAACAAATTTAATGTTTTTCTTTTGAGATTGAAATCTCATCAGTGTTTAGAAACAGAGTAAAGATTGTAAATTGTAATGCATCCCAGTTTATTTGAAATTTGTCATCCAGAAATGTTTTGGTCATTGCTAGTGAAATCATTTTAACTAATAGATTTTGAAATTCAGGTAGAGAATAGTAGAATTGTTAAGGACCGACAACATAATTTATTCTGTATTTCTAGCTGCATATAATTTTAATTGAAGTGTGTATATCAGTTCAGAGTTCCTTCAGAGTAACAGAACCAATAGGGTATATTTGAAGATACTAATTTGTAGGAATTGGCATATGTGATTTTAGAGGTGGGATGGGTAAGTCTTCCTTAGAGTAGCTTCTTCTCTGTTCTTGGGCCTTTACTACTGATTGAATCAGGCTCACCCAGATTATCTAGGATAATCTTTCTTACTTAAAGTAAACCTATTAGAGATTTTAATCACATATAAAATACCTTCATGGTAACACCTAAATTTGAATAACTGGAGGCTATATGCTAGCTATCTTGATTCAGAAAACTGACCATCACAGTGACCTAGTGACAATACTGTTTCTTAAGCACAGAATTATTTTTGTCAGTTGCACCGTATAAATATTATTTAAATATTATATTTAAAAGGTAATGAACTAGTCTCAATTTTTATCGTGAATAACAAAAGAATGATGCAGTAACTGTCCAATATAATAAAAGTGTAGTATGCAAATTGTCCCCTCAACCAGAAGTTCATCCAGGAGTTTGACCAGGAGGCAGGGCCAGCTGGGGGAAGGGAGAGAGGCCCTGGCCAGCCAGTGGTGGTGGCTACAGGAGGTCCGGCCAGCGGCAGCAACAGGTGGCTGGGGGAAGGGAGGGAGTACCCAGCCAGCAGCTGCTAGGGATCCTACCGGTGCACAAAATTCGTGCACTGGGCCTCTAGTATTCTAATAACCTTTCTGATTACCTGGACACATTTACAAATTACCTTTTTGTTAAAAAATTATTTAATTTTTCTTTTAGTCCTCTACTTATTCAACTCCTTTATTATTTTTCTTGCTTAATATTGTGCTCTCTTCAATTTCTTATCATTGATTTCAAACATAAAATTCAGGCTGTATGTACAACATAGTGATACTTGGCATTCATCAGATATTTGTTAGAAGAAAGATTATTTCACAGTTCTTATATGTTCTCTTTAAAGTTCATCTTAGTGTTACATTTGTTTTTTATAAATATTGCTGCTACATTGCTGACTTATATTTGGCACATGATTCCTAAATATTTTTGTCATATTTTCTGTGAAACTATATTGTTTTTATAACAAACAGAAGTTATTTTCAAACAGCAATCCAGAGTTTCAGGATGAAAACTCTCTAATGATTTCTTGGAAAAACTGGCTTGTATTGGAAACAGTGTTTTGCTATACACTTCATTACCTCTGGACTTGTAAGTCTATTTCTTTCACCAGGTAGGGGAAGTTTTCTGTCATTATTTCTCCAAATAGGTTTTCAATATTTTGCTCTCTCTCTTCTTCTGGCACCCCCATAATTCAGATGTTGGTACGCTTGAAGTTGTCCCAGAGGCTCCTGACACTATCTTCATATTTTTGGATTCTTTTTTCTTTTCCGGTTGGGTATTTTTTGCTTCTTCATATTTCAAATCTTTGACTTGATCCTTGCGATCCTCTAGTCTGCTGTTGGATCTCTGTATAATATTCTTTATTTCAGTCAGTGTATGCTTAATTTCTAGTTGGTCCTTTTTCATAACCTCGAGGGTCTCACTAGACTTATTGAAGGTCTTACTAAGTTTATCGGCGGTTTCTAGAAAATTCTTGAAAAACCTTAAAACCGTGGTTTTGAACTCTATATCCTGTAGTTTGCTTTCCTCCATTTCTGTCATTTGTGACCTGTTTCTTTGTCTCCGCATTTTTTATGCTTCCCTGTGTTGATAGAGTGGCTTTCTGTGCTAGGTGTCCTATAGGGCCCAGTGGCTCAGCCTCCCCAATTACCTGAGGTGGACACTCTTGGTGCACCCCTTTGTGGGCTTTGTGCACAGTCTTGTTGTAGTTAAGCCTTGATTGTTGTAGGTATCACTGGGAGGAATTGACCTCCAGGCCAATTGGCTGTGAGAATCAGCTGTGTCTGCAGTGGGAGAACTTCTGTGCTGAAGACACCC